GGGGCCGGGCGGCGATGACCACACACCTGTCGCCTGCTCCCCTGTGCACCTGCTGCCGCCTCCTTGCAGCCTCCGCCCCGGCCGCCTCTCCTCGGCTTGGCTGCTTTCTTTACGTCCTTTCTGTTCGTTCCGAGCGTGCGATTCCTCCCCTTCCTGTCCTGGAAGCCTCGGGCCTGGGCCCTCTGTGCCCTTTGCTCTCCAGGATTGGGGACTGGGGGGCCTGTTGGTGCGGCGCTGTCTGCATTCAAAATTTAAATGCGTGCCCAGAGTTGCCTTTTGCTTCGTTCTATGTTTTTGTTTTTATTTTTCTTCCTATTTAAATATTGTCTATAGGAATTTGGAAGCGACTTAAGGACTGAAGCAGAATATTCTTGACAATCAAGGAAGGTTACAGGGAGGCCTGTAAAATGATTATTCCAGTCCTGCTATTAAAACAACAACATTATTTTCATTCTATCTTGTTTCTAGGTTTAGTACTCTGATCAGCACAAACTATATGGGATCTGTTGTCACCAGGGTTTTTCATTTCCTTGATGCTGTACTACTTCAGTGTTTTTTTTTAAAGCATTGGATTTCATCCTATGTCAATTTAAAAGTGAATAATGGAAATACTAACAGATTTAACAAGTCTTATCCAGGACAGCATGGGAGTAAACTAAAGATAGGTGCCTGCTTCAAGTAGAATTTCAGATCACTACAGTAATTGGCTGTGAAGTTAATCATTATAGTTGCACCTCCCTTAGTTTAAACAACCTTAGCAGCTGATATTTCCCACTCTAGGCCTTGACATTTAAGGACCTAATCCAAGTATAGCTGAGAAAAACAGTAGGTTTCCTATGACCAAGTTTAGTTTCTATGATTCAGTAGAACTGTTTTGATGCTAATAAAAATACTGTAGAAAAATTCCAAGATGTGGCTATCATTTCTTTCCTATATTACAAAATTCTTGGTGTTGGCTCAGAACTGTGTGAAACTATTTTATTCCTTGCATGCAGAATATGTTACTGTTTTCTTCCACCTGACTTGATATTTTCTACAACTGGAATAGCTAAAATTAAAGTCTAATTGAATATCTTTTTTAAAGGATGTAAGGCTGGGGCATTTTAGAACTCTTTATCTAGAGTGAACCTCAATTCTTTAATTCATTGTGCAGGAGACCCAATAACAGCTTTATAAAAATCTGTGTTTCTTTGCATCCTAGGGCTCCAACTAAGATTAAATAATTTGTTCATAACTATTGTAGTACTTAAATGTTTAAAAAGTATACCATTTAAAATATGCTGTGAACAAAGAAGCTACATTATGGGGGAAATTGGGAGAAAAACTAAGCAAGGGAATTTCCAGAATTTTTTCCATCTCTATATACAGACTGGCCCATTTAACAGTTTAGAATAGCAACTTTTACATTATTTTTTATGAATTGTATTAATATAATAAATGCATTAATAAGATGTCTATAAGGACAAATATGTATTGAGGAAAAAAACCCCCGAAAATTATCCTCTTATGAAAAGTGTTGGAAGGAGATTATCAAGATTGGAAGTAATTTGAGATAATGGAATCCTTTCTGAACATTATTATGAAAGGAAACCCGCTTGTATTTTTTATATATATCTCCAGGGACAAAGTTAGAAATGCTTTTCTGAACACATAATACATTGAAGAGCCTCTTCTAGTTACATATATTTTCTGGTGGATATAAATTCTATTTTATGACTTCTGGAAACAGAGCTAGACCATGTTTTCGAGCTCATTAAAAATGAACTCTGTCTGGAATTGGCCTGTTGTTTCTTTTGTATCTTGCCTCAGGAAACAACAGGATAAACTAAAACCACTCCCTTCCTGCAATCCCCATTAACTCTACTGTGTGATGAATTCTATCTCCTTTTTCAGATTACAGTAGTCCCCCCTTATCTGCAGGGACATATGCTATGTTTTTTCTTACTAAATTGAAATAGTTCACCTTTCACTTAAAGGAAGCAAGCTTTGCTCTTCTCTTTGGCACATCCGAATCACCAGCATCACTACTCCTGTGCTCTGGGTCACTATTAAGCAGAATAAGGGTTATGTGAGCACTGAGATACTGCCACAGTCAATCTGGTCACCAAGAGGGCTACTCAGTGACTTATGGGTGGGGCTCGTGTACAGCCTGGAGACGCTGGGCAAAGGCATGAATCACTTCCAGATGGGATGAGAGGGATGATGGGAGATTTCATTACTCTACTCCAAACAGCCTGCAATTTAAAAGTTGTGAGTTATTTCTGGAATTTTCCATTTAATATTTTCAGACCACGATTGACCAAGCATAACTGAAACCACGGAAATTAAAACCACAGGTAAGCAAGTACTACTCTATAGAGAGACTTCCTTTACTCTTTATCAATCGTATTGAAAATCACTAATGTTCACTTTATTACTGTAATGGAAAACAAAGTATCGACTTTTCTTACAGCATATTTTCCTGAATCTTAAACTCTATCAAGTAGGGACAGTGTCTTGAATTTGGTCTCTACTCTCACGGTATGGTGAAAAGAAAAGAAGAAAAGAGATAGAAAAGAAAAGGGCTTTACAAACAAATTTGGCATTACTTTGTCTTTAGAATCTCATGAAGATCTGGGAGGATATCCATGGGTATGGCTGAAATAGTGAGAATCAACTTAAAGAACATTCATTAGACTGTAAAGTATACCAGAACTGCGTGTAGTAAGTACAGTGCATTTAAAGAAGAAAAAAAAGAGAAAAAAGAAATTGCTGCCTTAAAGTGGCTAATGCCTAGCTATAAAAATAAGATGAATGTGAAACCAGCTAGTAATGCAAGCTTTTGTAGCACCCACTCTAAAGGAGAGCATCATGTTAAGTATTAGGAAACGAAGATAAATTAGCAGTAATAGCTCACATTTAATACATAAGCACCAATGTGCCAGTCCTCTGCTAACCACTTTTGATGGATTAGCTCATTTACTCTTCACAACAACCCTATAGGTAGATACTATTATCCTTGTTTTCTCCAGTGGGTAAACTGAGACTTACAAAGGTTAAATAACTGGCCCAAGGTCAAATAACTGGAAGGAATTGTGTTGGAGACAAGATTTGAACCAAAGTAATTTCACTTAAGAACCAATGGATTTAATCACCATACTGCTTCCCAAAGTTCTTGACTTTGAGGAACTCACAGTTTTTCCTGGGGGTGGCAACTCCTTGGATAGATAATTATAAGAGAACACATTCAGAGCATGCTGAGAGCTATTAACATTGCTGCAGGATAATGGTGGCCCACCAAGTCTGCAAGTCACAGAAGCTTCGCAGACATAGTCACATTGGTCTTGAAGGATGCACAGGATTTCTCAGAACTTGGGGGCAGAGCATCCTAAGAGCAGTAAAGTGAAATCACTAAGGACTGGGAGTTATTAGGGGAAACATTTGGGAAGGGAAGGGTTTTAAGCCAAACTTTAGAGGAAGTATGTAAGATTTAAAGTGCGGCAAGAGAGGCTTGGAGGTGGACACATGACAATCGCACACGGTCTTCTCTCTGCTTGGGATGCTGCTGCTGCCCTTTCCTGCCCATCCGATTCTCACTCATGCTCCACCACCCGGCTCTCAACTCCTCTGAAGCTCCCCAAGCTACCTATGTGGCCAGTGGGCAAATTATTTAACCTGAGTATGAGGAACTTCATCCTAACACCTGTCTCAAGGGTTAGTCATGAAGATCAGGAGTAAGCATATTTACTTATTTATTTATTTATTTATTTATTTATTTATTATTTATTTAATTGATTGATTTCAGAGAGAGGAAGGGAGAGGGAGAGAGAGAGAGAAACATCAAAGATGAGAGTCATTGATCGGCTGCCTCCTGCACGCCCCTCACTGGGGATCCAGCCCCCAACCCTGGCCCGTGCCCTGACCGGAATCTAACCGCGATCTCCTGGATCCCAGGTCGATGCTCCACCGCCGAGCCGCATGGACCGGGCTGTAGTTCTGTCCTGTAGGCTGGTTTATGCTCAGCAAGATGCTGGACAAAGAGTGTGCAACTAATATATATTTGTTCAGTGAATAAATAATGGGTACTTTGCAACCATTTGTCGTATCAATGACTCATGTTCGTTAAGTTCCTAGGATACAAATATAAAATAGACTAAGACAGAGAATTTGCTTGCTATTGAAAACAAGTGCAAAAGCATTAAGGTGCCCTAGGAGGGATGACATTAACAGAGTGACATCTGGTGGCTGCCCGTTAGGCAAAGCGTTTAAGAAACGGTGAATACAAAATGTCTAAAAATTAGACTCCTCGATATAACAAGGTAAAGAACAATGAACTACACACCGTAGAAAAAGAAAACACTTAAATCCCCACCCTAGAAAAGCTTACAAAAGTTGCGGATTGTGGGTTTCCTTAATGAGCCTTCAATGACTTATTCACAAGTAAGATATTTTTAACTTCTCTCGGGAAGTTCGAGGGGAGAGCGGGTACCTGCCGAGACCACAGAAAGGTCCGCGGACAGAAACATTTCCCGGGATCTCACCACCGGGAAGCACAGGCCCCAGCGGGATCCACGTGGACTGCCCATCGCACGCTCGGCTTTCGATTGGTCGGGCCTGCCCGGGCTGCGTGGGAGGGCGGAGTCGCGGGAAGCGGAAGCGCGCTCTTTCAAACTCGCCGTCCGACGTCGTAGCGTGCAGAGCACTTCCGGCGTCGCGATGGCGGCTAACGCTACCACTAACCCGTCGCAGCTGCTGCCTCTAGGTAATGGGTGTCCTGCGGGAAACGGGGGCGAGGAGCTGGAGCTTGCGATTGGCGGCCATGGGGCCGCGGGCCGGGCCTGCCCCGGCCCGNNNGGGCCGGGCCTGCCCCGGCCCGAGTGTAGGAAAATGTGTCGGAGCCGCTGCTTTCCTCCTCCGCGGCGTGTCTCCGGGCTCCCAGTCCCTGCCGCCTCAGGCCACCCCTGTCTCTTCAGCGTGGTGGGGGTCCTTTGGGCTGGGACTCGTGACCCCCCCGATCCACACTGTCACCGAAAAAGGTCTACACTTAGGGGATGCGCCGCCAGCCTGCTTCGTTGTGAGCAGCCCCACTCCTCAGCCTTCCGTTTTACTCCCCAGAGGAGACCCTGTCACGTACCCGGCGGGTTATAGAGAGAAGCACCGGGCTCTTAATGAGCCTTAAAAAGAGGGATCTGGAAACTAGCTCTATTGTCATTCATTCATTCATTCATTCATTCATTCATTCATTCATTCATTCATTCATTCATTCATTCATTCATTCATTCAACAAGCAGTTATTGAGCGTCCCCGCGGCCCCCAGTGGCTGGGCGCGATTGAACAAATTTAAATCACGGCCACTGCCGCCTCTAACCAGCGCGCAAACCAGTGGAGGAGACAGGGTACTGCACAAATAAACAGCGAGCCACACAGTGCCAAGCCGGCTACAGAGATGTGCAAGCTGCTAGTCAGAGTAGAGAGGACAGACTTAGGGGGAGGGAGGCAGCGGCAAGAAGCAGTCTCTGGTGAAGACAGTTATGCCTCTCTCCCTCATATTTTGTAGCTGAGAATGATTGAGTTGGTGGATGCGGCTGTGACTGAAGTTTTTTTTTCTATATTTGACAAACTTTTAAAACAATTGTTTTTCAGTGACAGGCTCTGAATACTCAGCATAGGCCAGGCACTGTCCATTGGGGACACAGTGATAGGAAAAAACAACCTGTTTCTGCTCCCATGGAGTTGAGAGTCTGGGTGGGGGTGAGGGGGCTGCCTCATGTGTTAATTAAGCAATCTAACATAAAACCACAACCGTGATGAATTGCTACAAAGGAGAGGGGAGGGGAGAACAGGGAAAACTTTTTGTTAATGTAGTGGTTGAACAGATACGTAGTGTAAGATCTAAAGTTTTTGAATGGATGCGTTTCCTGACTTATCTCACTGTATGCAAGTAATAAATGCCAATAGGCTCAAATATATGTTGAAGAAATGAATTGGTAAATAATCTTTTCCCTCTCCCTTAAAAAACACACAGAGCTTGTGGACAAGTGTATAGGATCAAGAATTCACATCGTGATGAAGAGTGATAAGGAAATTGTTGGCACGCTTCTAGGATTTGATGACTTTGTCAGTATCCTTTTAAAAGATGGTGATGGAATGGGTTTTTCTTCATTATTTAACAAAGAAGTAAGAACTATAGACAGTCTACTTACTGCTAATTACAATAAAAATCAATGCATTGTCAGGGAAGCTGTGATAGTATTTTAGGTGGATGTGTAACTGAAAGAAGATAAAGTTCCTCCCAGTCAGAAGCTTTTTGAATTCGAGCCATTGTGTTAAATGTTACAATTGAAACTGAACAAGGCAGAAAGCCAGAGTAAATTCAACCTGATACGTTTATTTTCTTAACACCAAATTTCAGATATGGTACTGGAAGATGTCACTGAATTGTGAGTAGTGTTAAAAATTAAAGAATTCGGGGGGGGGGGAATCTCTCTTTTTAATTTAAGGCAATTTTAGTACTGTTGAGTCAAGAAAATGATGTGTGAGAAGGCATTGCCTGTTGGAATTATCTTAAAGACAGAAATTTTATCTCCTGCCACCATGCTAGTAAATTTGGATCTGAGGGTTGTTACCTTAATGCAATGTTACTAAATTGCTAGGAAATTGGTGGAGACAAAACTTTAAGGTAAAAGATAAGAAAAACAGGGCTCAGGTCAAATCAAGGAATTGATAGTAAGAGCATGTAGTGCTCTTAAGGAAATCAATTGCCCTGCAATTTATGTATAAGATAAAATGTAAATGATGGCTCAATTATATAAGTTATAAAGATTGCAACCAGTATCTATGCTTTCAGAATTGAATTGATTGCCGATTGGTTTAGTGGATAGGAATCAGTAGTAAGTAATAGTAAAAGAGTGAGGATAGTAAACATTTTATTTCATATTTGATCTCCTTAGCAAGTTTCAGCTCCTCTTATTTACATCAGCCCTAGTGGATGTGGGCCTTAGGCCAGCCAGTCCACTCTGTTGCCTTTGGGGAAGAGTGTATATCATCCAGTGGGTAACCTTTGTCTCTGAAAACTATTCATATAATTGTCTGACCTCATGTTCATTTATATACAATAATAACCTTTTTAGGGATAAAAATGTTCGCTCTCATTATCTCTGTTTATCTTGACTATTTTTATTCATTTAGTGAAATCACACCAGAAGGAAGAAGGATTACTAAATTAGACCAGATTTTGCTAAATGGAAATAATATAACAATGGTAAGACAGTAAAGCTGTTTTATTTTGATGTTAGATCGTTTTTGTGGGGAAGGGATTACAGAACTAACTTGCTTGACTACGTGTTCATGGCCCAGTCGTGCCCAGTGGTACTTTAGGTAGGAAAGGGATATTCTGGTGGTTAGGACTTGAAAGCTGAGCCATTGAAGATGACGTTAGGCCTGAAGATAAGTTTACTTGTGCTTTTTAATCTTTTATTTTACTAAGGATTATTGTTGAGGCACTAAGTATTGATTGATGATGGTGGAATTGTGATGGCACCATGGAGAAAATGGGGATGTGAGGGAGGGGTGGAGAGGCAGAAGTGGCTTTGGTCAATGAGGAGCTCTCAGCCGATGTTTTTAGGTGATGTGGTGGTGTTACTAAACTTTTTCCTCCTTTGCAGCTGGTTCCTGGAGGAGAAGGACCTGAAGTATGAATGGATTCCCTTGACTTATGCTAGATTCTGTTTTGTCTTATAATGACAACAAAAAATAATTTTTTTAAACCTTTCAATGTCTGGATTCTGTGAAGCCAAGTTTCCCGTTAAAGGGGAATGCTTTGAAGAGGCATTGTAAATGCTATTTTTTAAGTTAATCATGTTTATCTTGGGGGGAAAATTAGAACATCGAAGACTAAAATAAAGGTGTTTTTGGTTAATTGTCATTTTATTTATTATACTGCAATAGCCACTGGAACAAAGCTAGTAGTTATTTTGTCAGTTGCTCTCTTATCATTTCATGCCTGTTTGTTTCCTTATTTACATGACCAATTAATTCTCAAAAATTGTTCCAAATAAAATGGCAGACTTTGATTTTGAACCAGGTGCATTTAACCTGGAATGATTCAGTTCAATTCAAACTGTGATGCTCTGAAATTAGCATTTTTCTACTGAAAAGTTCCATTAACTTCTATTAAAAACGAAGAAGCAAAAGTAGACAGGTAGTCTGTGCATTGTAGAACTGCAGATAAATGAAAAGGAAAGCATTTATTGTGCTTTACTGCCTGTACTCTTAGACTTTCTCAGTACACATTTTATATTTACAAAAACTTGTTCACCCTGATTACGCTGTTTTGTGGCCTCCATTTAAGACTTTTAAAAAATTTAAGTGGCGAACATCTTTCCATGCCAGATATTTCAGTGACATTAATGTGTGCACAGTATTTCATTAACTGGATTTACTGTAATTTAGTTGGCCTATTCTTATTATTGGTCACAGTAGTCTAACTAAACCTTTATGCATTTTTATTTTTCTTAAAAGAAATTCAGAAAAGTGGTCAAATGGTATATATCATCTTGTTGCCAACAAAACGTTTGTCAGCAGTTTTTCATACTTTACATATTTACCACCATTGGCTGTATTCTCTCTTTTCTCTTTGTCATTGTGGTAGGCAAAACGTGCTATGTTAAAATTTTCTGTATTAATTTTGTATTTTGTGAATTCTGTGAGGCTTTTGCCATTGAGATGCTTGTCTTATTTCTTACTAATATGTAAGAATTCTTAATAGGTTACTCTTAGTCATGTATTTTGCAGGTAAATTCCCTGGTTTGTAGTTTGCCTGTTAGGGGTACATTTTCGACATAAATAAAAAAAATATTTTTATGTAGTTATATGTTGGTCTTGTCCTTTATGGTTTTTGTCTGGTGCTCAGGGATTAGAAAGACCTCCTTTGTGCTGATATTATGCTTTTTGGGTACTTTTTATATTCTTTGTTTCATTTAAGTCTTGAATCCATCTTCAGTTTTAGTGTTTCCACATGAGAAAGGACCCAACTTTATTTTCTAAAAGCAAAGCACTGACCTGTGGTATTTTTTTATTTTCATGGTGTAAATACTCCTGCTACGGCTGATTTTAAGCTGCCCAGGGTTTAACAGCGGGCTTGCAGATTTCCTCAAAGTTTAACAGTTGGTTCTCAGGAGCCACTGCTTCTGACCCTTGTTGGGGGACTGCTTTCTCTCCTGTTGTTTCTTTCCTTTGGAGGGAGGTTAAATGATGTAATACCGTCCTCTTACCACCCTTTTACTGTATCCTACACGGTGGCCATGCTCAGCACTTACTTTTTTCCTCCTAGGAGTTCGTTGCCTGCAGGGAGCACATGTTCTTGGTTCCATCATGCTCCGAGTGTCGGAGGGCCTGACCTCACTTAGGGAGGCCTGTGGTTGTCTCGTCTGTGACCAGGTGGCCGAGCTGACTTCTGGAGTTCAGCAATAGGAAGTTCACTTGCCTACAGATAAACTGTTTCTTAATCTAGTCTTTAACAGTAACAAAGATGAGGGTATGATTCTCCCACCTGCTTGCACTTTTATAGCAAAATTCATTTAAAGTAGGTACTATTCTAAATAAGGGTTTTTTTAGCCTTGGCATTGTTGACACTTTTGTCTGGATGATTCTTAAGTGTGTGGGCTGACCTGCTGCAGGGCGTTTGGCAGCGTCCCTGGCTTCTGCCCACTAGATGGCAGTAGCTTCCTGTCTTCCCTGCTCCCTCAGATTGGTTGGTATTTGAGAGGGACTTCTTGATGGACTGTGCTCTGGCTCTCCACGGTTTCAACAGTTCAGGCCAGTGGGCGAAAAGAACAAAAAGTGGGAATGAAAGGGAGGGATGCTGCTTTCCCAGTTCTGGAGTTTTCTTTCCTGGAGTGAGACAGCAGTGTGGTAATGCATCTGGCTTCCCTGTCCCTTTGGTTCTCTGCCCAGGAGACATGGAGTGACTTCGCTGGTTAAATATGGGCAGAGGGAACTGCACGCTTGCCTCAGCTCCTTCTCCTTCCTGGGGTTGGGTTGCCTTCAGGGAGCATATGTTATGCTCTGCTTTTTGCTGTAACTTATAGGGGTCTGCATGAAGACACGAAGTCTGGGGTGGTCCATCCTGCCTGTGGTTTTGTGGGTACATTTGAATAATTTGGGAGTTTCATACAGAAGTCCATAGATATAAGCTACATCATCTAGCATCTGTCAGTAATAAAAAGGATATTTTGACCCCTGTGTGTTTATTATTTTGCCTTTTTTTCTCAGTTGGTTCAGAGCTCAATCAGGGACGAGGGGTGCTATTATTGGTCCCCTCAAGCTTCTACTATACTAATATAACAACATCCTTTCTCTTCCTGACCACCTCCTGTTACCCCCACGCATCTGTCCTCCTCGCATTAAAGCATTCGAATGATGTATCTAAAATGCAGAATATTGCCATAGGACACTGGCTTTCAAACCTTTCAGTAACTCACCCTCTGCACAACAAAAGCTCAGGTTCCTTAGCAGGAGACCTTGAGGGGTTCCTGTTGACCTTGTCTTGCCTTAGTAACACAGAATTTGTAATGGTGACTGTTTCCTCTCTTTGGACTTTGGCTTTATTCATGTTGGGCCCCTGTGGGAATACCCTTGACTTTAAACTTCTTTATTTGGTTTACTTCTCCTCAAGTGTCACTTCCTCCTGCTAGTCTTACCAGATCCACCACCCTTCTACTGCTCTCAGTGCTTATATGTTACTGGTCATGGAAACTTAGGGTGCTTTTTCATTATCTTGTCTTGAACAATATCCTCAAGCAGTTGATGCCATGAAAAGTCCTGGTTTCAAGGGAAACCAATCCTGTTGCACCGTTGGACCAGAAACTAGAGAGTCTGGGCCACCACCAACACCACCATCATCGGAATATCTTTAAAAAATTTTTTTAATTCTATAAAGTGACATTAGGGATATTCAAGGATTTTGTTGAATTTTTTTGTGAACCACATATTTTTAAATGATAATCAATGGATTAATGATTTAATCGATACAAATGGAGAAACAAAGAAAGACCAAGATACGGATGACTGGTGAAGACTGGTGGCAAATGTCATGGACAAGGAAAATGCGTGCCTGAAACAGGTCCTACGTGGAGCTTAGTCTGTTCTCTCTATTGAGACTACAGAGGGATGTCAGGGATAAACAAAGACTGTATCTTACATTGCTTTTAAAGGTGTAGCTTTGCTATTAGTGGGATAATGATAGAACCGTTAAGTATAAATAAACTGATAAAGGACAGTGAAGCATTGCTCAACTATGAACGTGTAGTGAGGCAAAATAGTATTGAAAACCCCGACACCCATTAAGAAGTAAACGGATAAAGGTTTCACCAATTTGACTAAGTTCGTAAAGATTCTGATAAGGAATTTTATTGTTCTGGGTCAGCCTCAAGGTTGAGGTTTTTCTTTGTAAAGATAAAAATTATATATACTAAGGGAAAAAACCCCGAAATACTGAATCAATGAAATGTAGAAAGCAAGGATTAATGGTGATTAGGTGATTATCTGAATTATCTTAAGAGTTTGGCTGGCATGGTTGATTGACCCTCAGTGCAGTGACGAAATGGGGCCCTGTCTGTTAATAGGGAAGGTCTGAGGCAGAACCTGGGGAGCTCCAGCTGGGTCTGGTGCTGGGAGTCTCATCCACTGACATCTCCGTGTTGTAAGGAGCACTTAATCTCAGCCTAGCCTGATCCCCAAATCCACGCTTTATCTGCTCCATTTGTGAGGAGTGTGAGGTCAGCAGGTGTGAGGCTGGAGCAGAGAATGGTTGGAAAGCATACTGAATCTACTTTATCCAAGGTTGACCCTGGCTGAATCTTTGGTTGTTAGACATTTATTCTTGAATTTAATAAGGAAGATCATGTATTACATCAGCTGGTCACCAGAGGGCACCGTGGAGCAGACAGTTGCTAAAGCCAAGGCTTTTTAGTTTTCCTCAGAACTTTGTTGGAGGAGTTCAAGAGGACGGTGACCACTGGTTGACCAGAGAGCTGGACCCCAGCAATCGGAGGCTCCTCACCCCCTCCCCTGACCTTGAAATGTATGCTCTGCCCACCATAGGAGTACAGTAGGAACCATTTCAAGGATGCAGCCTAGAGAGTAAGGTGTTGAGACCATCTGCCTGGAAGAAGTTATGAACTCAGGTAAGGACTCCATATAAACATTTAAGATCCACTTGTTTTGAGGTTGCCTAAGAGGAGCCTCATAAGTTAGTTCTCTTGCTTAAAACCGCCACCCACTAACCTGGTGTGCTCTACCTCTTTCTTCAGTCTCCTTGCCCTCCATATGTGGGGGCCAGTTCCAGTTTCACCCAGCACCCTCCGAGGTTTTATTTGAAACCAGCTTCCTGCATTGGAACTCAGGTTTCTGGTCTTCCACTTTGTTGTACTAACTAAACTAGCTGGTCACATCACAAGGGCAGGTAAAGGGTTGGCGCTATACTAGTTTACACTGCTGTTTGAAAGAGGAATCTTTTTCATATTTTCTATAAGAGGTGCCTTTTCTATTGTAAAAAATTGAGTGTAATGTGGTAATTATCATCATTATTTAAAGAGCCTCTAGACAGCTTATTTTTATGGTCTTTCTATGTTGGCAATTCCATTTCAACAATGCCCATAACATTTCCCCTGAGAATTGATCCCCTAGTCATCTTTGAATCTTCTATCACAAAGCACATGCTAGGGCACAGGGGCTCAAATGATATCTGTTGAATTAAGCAGTGACAATAGAGTAGGAAGTTATCTTTTGTCCCATAATTGCCGCCCTTGGGAGATGGGCCCCATTAACACTTCTCACAGCAACCCTGTTATTTGTCACTGGGTTTAGCTAGCTTCAAGGTCATTGTCTCATGAGGGTAGTAAGAAACAGGAAGGACCTTCTTTTTCCCTTCACTGAGTCACCTGGAGGGTATCTCTTGGCAATTGTGGCTGGAGGTGTGACATTTAATTAGTGGAGAAAATCGAGGCAGCCTGTGCCAGCAAGAAAGTGAGGAAAGGCTTGGGAAGGAATGACAGGCTCAGTGGGCAGTTTGGCCCAGGTTTTCTAGATCCCATTCGGGTGTTCACACCACCACAGGTGGAGATTGCAGAAGCTTGAGGAATGGGAATCACATGCGTCTGCATGGACAGGTAGCTTCTTCTATTCTACCTGGCATTAAGGAAAAGAAATGATGAGCTCCCGAGAGTTGAGGACCTCATCTAGAGAAGCCTGGCCTCCTGCTGGCCTAGTGACAGGTCCGTGAGGATGACACAGGCTTGCACTGAGATCTGTGGCCTCTCACGTCACAGGACCCAGGCTGTGCTGAGTTGGAAAGGAGCATACGGCACCTCTAGGCCCAGTCCTGCTCCTTATAGATGAGGCCCAGAGAGGGGCCTAGATTGAGGGACCCAGGAGCTAAGCGGGAACCAGTGCTTAGATCACTGGGACCTGGTTCAGAGTTCTTGGTTGTGCTGCTTTGCATTCATGACCCTGTGGTGATGGTTGGGTTTCCCTGGATTAAATTACCCTGCTCTGCCCCAGAAGCTGGTTGTAGTCACCTGTACTTCCCCATGGGTGTCCTAGAGATGTGTTTTCCCTGTTTATTTCTAGAGACCTTTTTTTTCCTTACGGGTGCAGTACTGTTTGAGTGATGCCTCATCTGCCTCTGGGCCCCTCGTGCCTTGAAAAAGGCTGACAGCAGAAGCCAAAGGCCCAGAGGGCGGGGCTTAGGTGGGACAGGAGCTGGAAAGGAAGAAGGCCTAGGAAGGAATTTAAAGGAAGCATGATGGTGGGGTGGATCTGGCTTCTGATACCTGCTCTGTCTCTTCTCAGTGGTGTGACCTTGGAGAAA